CGATGATGGGTAAAATCTTCATGCATGGTTTAATTATTTTCTGTTTACTGAAAGTAGTAGGCTTAAATTTAATCATACCTCTCTACTCAGCACACCATAATTACGTGTGTCCTAAAACATTCAGAGCTGCAGACTGAGATGCCGTACCCTCCAGCGGTTTGGAGAGGAGGCAGAAATGACTGAGTGACTTTAGAAGCAGTGCTGCAGTAGTGTATAGGAGTAGTGCCTTGTAGCCCCCGTTGCCAGCATTGCTGTGGGTGGACTCCTCTGAGGTTTCATTATCTAACATCTACCGATGGAATACACCATTTATAGCACCCCTTTTCCATAGTGAGCTATGTACTGAAACTTAGGACTGAAAGCTTGCAAATTTGATGCATGCTTCCTTATACTAAGGACAAATGCTGTCGTCTGCAGTAAAACCTCTGAATGGGGTAAACAGTGAGTAAGCCACTTGTGACTTGCTTCTAGGCTTTTACAAATCACTGTCTTCTATAATGCATTAATCAGCAGTACAGAATAAAAGATTATTGGCCTGTTTATACAAGATCAAGGAGAATTGTTGGAGCTCTGTGAGCTTGAACTGCTGTCATTCAATAGCATGGCTTTACTACTGTAATACTTTGTCTGCAGAACTGCCTCCTTCAGGGGTAGTATTACTGAGGTTATAGAAGTTAACATTACAGAAGGTGTTCTGAAAAAAAAACACCAAACAAAAACAACACCCACAGCCAAAACAAAAAACACCCTGACAACAAACATTTTAAAATCAAACTTGGCGAACAGATCACATAAATTTTGTCTTCTGTCTCATTACAGAAAATCATTCCACTGAACTGAAACTGTAGACAACTTGCAGCTTTTGTGCCCATACAAAAGACAACTTTAAACACAGGCAATGCATTTTTCACAGGCTTCTGACTCTGAGCTATAGACTTCTTGTATCTTAAATGACTCTGTTTAATAGAAGTAAAAAAACCCCATAAAAATCACTTGCCAAAAATTAAAAAAAATAATTTACTGAACTTCTGAATGCTTCCTGTAGAGCTGTGTGGTTTCTGAATACACCAGGTGTATTGTATACTCAATAGCTGATACAACTCATCGGTCTGTTTAGACAGACCTGTCCTCTGGACTTTTCCTGCCCTGCAGAGGCAGAAACAGTAGTTTCACAGCAGTCTGAACCTTGGCTTTCCGCTCTGAGCAGCATTAATGCCCTCCATTATATGGGGTTGTGTTGGGGAGGGAAAGCAAGTCTGTAAAGTGGTGACCCTGCTGCCCAGGTGAACTGAACTCCTAGAGAGTGTTTACGGCAGACTCACATAGTTTAGGTGTGCAAGGATCAGTCAAAGAATAGCCTGTCTGCTTCTAGGGTAGAATATCTGTCATCACCGGATGGCTTGAATAGCTGGATGAACATTTCTAGACTAGCGGGGAGGGGGAAGAAATACGTGGAAAATCATTAACAGTAGTTACTGTGCTCTCAGGGAAAGTAAAATATGAGTATTTTCATTAGTAACACAAATAATGCTTAGTCTAGTAGTTAAACTTTTTAATTTTTAACTTTTTCTACTTAGGTCTTCAAACTTTAAGCCTCAGCCCTACAATTAGGTCTGTATTGTGTTCTTTGTGTTGCATGAAGTCTTCTCCTGAAGTCTTGCCAGAGCTGTGTCTGGCATCACATGGGTTTTGGTCATGCAGTTGCAGTATGCAGTTTCCAACTGTCTCTCAAAAACTAGGAAAATAGCTTGTAGAAGGTCATCACTGGCTATCTAGCAAGAGTCTGTAGGTAACAGGTGATGTAGTAAATCAAAGATCCTATCAGTAGATTTGGGATAGAGATGCTAGTGGAAAGCTTGCTGCCCTACTGTTTATGATTTAAGTACTTACCTTAACTTCATGTACTCTCCTGTGCAAGTCTACACCTTCCTAATGTACAGGACACAAAGCTGTATTTTATTCTTGTTCCCTAAGACAGTCTAATGTCTTATTGCGTCTATGTAAGGTGCAGTTGCTTGGAGAAGACTATTATTCTTCAGTATAAACTAATGTCTATCCTTGCCTTCTTTCCTGCTGTTGAAGAGGTCTTAATGCATGCCTGAATGCACTCTTCTGCTGTCTAGGTCTATAGAGACTCTAGGAGGTGTGCTGTAGCATGCTGATAAAATTCTAACCTCTGAGATGACTAGAGTATCTGTTTCTGGTGATACCTCTTTTTGCTGATGTGACTGGGTTCAGTGTGCTTGACGTATTACCTGTAAATGAAGAATTCAATAATACTTATTCATCTAACCCAGAGGTAGTGAACTGCCACAATTAACTTGAAAACCTGCAAGCAGTAAAGTCATGTGATGTTGTGTACCCTAACTTCATCTGGGATGAAGATGGAGAAAGGTTGGGACATAGCTCAGGACAGAATTGTTGGAAAGCTAGTACCATAGGATGAAAGAGTCAGACTAGTTTTCCTGTCAGCATGTATGTTAGTATCTCAGTTGGTTTTTTGTTTGTTTATTTTTGTTTTGTTTTTTTTAACGTAGAACGTAAGAACTGAACTTGCTGTTTGTCACAACCATGGCCTGCAGCCTGGTGGGCTGAGAGCTTGGCCATGCTGCAAACTTTTTCATCTTATCTGTAGCACATAACACCTTCCTTTTCTCTTTCTTACAGACTTGATCCAAGCAACTAATGAAACAAATGTGAATATTCCTCAGATGGCTGATACGCTTTTTGAGCGAGCAACAAATAGTAGCTGGGTGGTTGTATTCAAAGCCTTAGTTACCACACATCATCTAATGGTTCATGGTAATGAGGTAAGTGTAATCAGCTTTCTCTTGGGACCACATTGGCACTGAGCAGGCTCCAAGCCAAAAACATTAGTAGTGCAAAGGCATCTCTTCTGAACCAGTAAGGACCTGAGAACAAAGGGCAAGAATGATCCTTGATGAGGAGCAAACTTACCTTTAACAATATAGTTGGAGGCATGCCGATTATCTGTCTCTTCATTTACAAAACCGTAGCATAAGAGCAAGCAGTAGCTTGTTCCAGGATGTTGACAATTTATGTGCTATCTGAAAACAGAACTACACAGGATTAAGGACTACCTGGGACTTTTTGACTAGAGTCAAAGTTGATGTTCTGGCACATGTGTACTGCCATCCAAATAGCTGCCCTCTCTGCATGAGCATTAAAATCTTCCTAGAGCTATAAATTCAACTTGATAGCCTTTTGGATTGTGTTTTCCTTGCCCTTGCTTTTTATTGACCTGTATAGACCGGTATGTCTGCGTAAAAACCAAAAGCATACTTAAAGAGCTTTAGTGTGACTGTGAAACAATTCCTCCCTGGCTGTATATAAAGTGTTTTCATGCAATGAGCTTCTCCAATGTCACAGCGTAAATTTTTACTCCTGTCCTATTTTTCCGTTCCAAGTTTTGGCCAATATTCTGATTTGCTTTCTGTAACTGTTTCAGCCTGTCAGTTCCTGTACTTGATGTGAGTGAGGCCTGCTTGTTATTAAAACAGGCCTTCAGCTTGGCTAAAACTGAGGACTGCTGGATTGAAAAGTCTGGGACTAGCCTGGATTTGCTGCTTTGCGAGCAGATAAATCTTGTGCTTCCTCAAATCTCTTTGAGAATTAACCATTTTTACTGCTCCTTCCACAATCTGGTTTATATTTGCACAGAATCTATTTTTATGTATACAGAAGGATATTTAGTAGAGATTCAGGCTAAACATAATCAATCTGAATGGATGAAAAAGGTTTTGAGGAAAGTATTGCAGGCTAAGACAAAAATCTGGGTTTTCATGTGTGTATGCTGGAGCTAGACTGGTAATCTTCCTGCTAGGAGGTACAAAGCCTTCAGATACAACCTGTGATAAGAAAATAACTTTGTGTTGCAGAGATTTATTCAGTACCTGGCATCTAGAAACACATTGTTCAATCTCAGCAATTTTCTGGACAAAAGTGGATCTCATGGTAAGCCTACTCACGTCTATAATCTTAACAAGATTCCAAATAAGATACTATTGTTAATTTGCTCCTTCAATCATAAGATGCAAATAATATCAAAATGTGCTACTGAAGCCTTTTTATAAGTATTTAATGAATACAGGAGCTCAAGTCAACTGCTGGACAACATCAGAACAATGTTTCTCAGTTCCTGCAAAATTTTTACTCAAGAGGTGAAACTGTACAACTCCCTTAGAAAGTGCTGGTTGAAATCAGGGCTGGGTCAACTGTCTCCTTAACTGTTATGGGAGTTAAGGATGAAATGGATAACTTTCCATTCATTTTTTTGGTTTTTACTCAGTCTTAAATGGTAATTTGGTTGCCTGGGGACACTGCACTTTTTAGGAACTGTCTGTACAAATGTTTAATTTAGGGAGGCAGGGGAAGGCATCAAAAGAATTAGCTGGTTTTGATTTGAGTAGTGAATTTAGAAGGTCTAGGCAAAAATTAAGGAGTTGTTCTCTCTAAAGCTTACAATGTCTGCTTTTCTACTTTGACTCTGGAATTATTAGTGAAGTTTCCTGTTGCTTCACTTAACAGAGAAAAAGCTTGCTTCATGGTAGCTCTAGTAGAGAAGAGAGGAAACTTCTAATGTGGCAGCTGTCAGAGAATATTTGTAGACTGTATGCAGAATGCAGGAATGCTACAATAATGGGCAAGACCGAAGCAATGCCATGTTACTCCATCTCTCAGTGGAGACGTGACACCAAAAAGACTTGAGCATCTTTTAGAAATGGTAACACAGGGCAGGAACAAAGCCAAACAAATATTAAAACTGTCTTTGTCTAAGCAAAACATGCTATGCATGTTCAAAGATACTGGTATTTGGCAACAAGGAATTCTGTTAAATGCATGCTTTTGTATTCTTTGCCACTTTCTTTAAACTTAAATTGCCATTTCATAGGTAGTACAACGGTGTGTCATAGATAATGGGGCATCAGAGCTGGTAGTGTTAAGCCTGAGTTGGCAGAGATACTTAATGTTGAGAGATACTAAGGAAAAATACAGTCAATGACTAAGTCAAGGGGTGTGGATTTTAACAAAGGTAGCAAAAAGGGACTTGTACTGAAGAGGAGGATGAGTTGCCTTCTGCACACATTTCTGTAGCTTAGAGGAAGAAACTTTGAAAGAAATACCTGAAGGATAGACTGTAATACTAAGTGTTCAGAAGTCTTACAAGCTTGAAGGTCACTGAAGTTTGAGGCTGCTTTTACAGTGTCATGTGCCTTGAAGATCTCTGGTGTAACAGTTCAAAGAAGGCACTAATCTCTATGAATGTCATCATCATTTCTTTGTTCTGGTATACCTAGTCAGGGGAATTTTGAAGATCAATGTCAGAGCTGGAGGGACTGACATATGTAAAATAGTGGGAGTGTTTAAGTTGAAATCAATCTTTATCCTGGAAGTCATGTACCAGTTAAGTATAAACCCTTTGTTAAATTGGCATTTTTCCCTGTTAATAGAGGGGTAACTAATTTTGCCATCAAATAATGTTACCACATAACTGTGTAGGAGCCACTAGCAGGTTTCCCCAGGAACCATGCCACTGGTGCATTGGATGAATCTGTTGGAAGCAGAAGACAGCGGTAGCTTGTTTTGGTGTAGCACTACTGATTTTTCTTCAGAAGCTGGAAGATGTCTTGTGATGCCTGTTCTGTACGTGTGGTTGCGTAGTGCAGCAGAGATCACACAACCTTAGAGCCTATTGGCTGTATATTATCGTTTACTAAAGAACCTCCAAACAAGCATGAAAACTAAATGTAAAACGTCTAACTGTTTTTTGCAGGTTATGACATGTCCACCTTTATAAGGCGTTATAGTAGATACTTGAATGAAAAAGCGTTTTCCTACAGACAAATGGCATTTGACTTTGCAAGAGTGAAGAAAGGGTAAGCAAAGTTTAGATGTGTAAACTGATAGGGTTGCCTGACCCATGATAATCTTGTTTGTGGCGTTACGTTTAATTTTAGGGTCTCAATGACTTAGTTCTTGTGTTCTTTGTTTAGCCGCAATGAAACACTAAAATGGTTGGATTTCTTAAGTATTTGTAATGGGTTAAAAATTGCATAAGGAGAAGAGGAAAGACTGGGTAGTAAGGCAAATACTGAAGACTAAAGTAAGGTGCCTTGCAGAACTAGGAGCTTTTAGTGCTAGGCGTTAAATCTGACTCAATTAAATTGTGCTGCAGTGAGGCTGTGTTTAGGATTTGGAGAAGGAAACACTCTGAAACTGTATTTGGAACGTTTCATTACTCTCCAGACCCTTTCCATAAGAAAGATGACTGATTACAAAGGAAAACTGAAGTGAACACCTGAAGTTCTTAGCAGGCAACACAGCAAACAGTTATAAACTGAACAGAATAAGGTTGTAAACTACTGATTTTATTTCCCACAAGGACTGTGTTTAAAAAAAAAAGTTAACCCAGCCCAGAGTAGTACGTTGGTATTTATCAGAACATTTTTTTGGTCTCTTACTGTTCTAACTGGGACTTTAATGGCTCTAGATTCTCTCTTGAAGCACAGACAACACAGCAAATGCCTTAACACCCACTGAAGGTGCAGCTTAATTGACTGCATGCTAAAGATGCTCCTGCTAATCATGAGTTGCGTACAGGATCATTCTGGCAGTTCCGGAGTATTCTGCAGCTTGGGATTCTGAGCTGTTAATGCAGGTGTCGCTGCCAGGCTTTCCTCTCCTCCTGCTCAAACTGTTGTGTAGCTGGATGCCATTCCCACAGCGGGGACCAAAGTAGTTATCTCTTGAACCTATCTGGAATACGAATTACTAAGAAGTTTTTGACATGAAGACTAGTAGCTATTTGGATTGTTATTTCAGGCAGACTTTGACCCAGCAGGCCGCTGTAGTGCTAGCATCTTAAGTTCTCTTTGTCACCTAGTGCCTTCAAACATTTCATGCTAAATAAACATAAGTTTGGGTTGCTGGGAATCCTTCTATTCCTGCCTTGCTATATGTTCCTGGAAAGGCTTTCTATCCGTGTTATTTCTGGTGCTCAAAACAAGGTGCTGCCTCAGAGTATAGCATAAGATAGGTAAAAATGGCAGTATGCATTCACCGAGAGGAGATGCTATACCTGTCAGTGGCCAGAACGGGGCAATACATAATGGTGATTTGTGCAGGTTTGTGATACTGAGAGATAAAACTGGGCATGTGTGAAGACTGCTATAAGACTATAGGCGGCAATTAAAGAATGCTACACATCCATGACTGCTGCATGATCCTGTTGGAATAATGGTTCAGTGCTGATAAGGCAGGTCACATTCAGTGGAAGTGTGTGGAGTAATGGAATTAATTAGTACCCAGGAATACTGAGGAAAGAAGTGCTAAGCAAAGATTGCCCTGACTTAAATTGTCATTGAATTGGCATGCATATATTGTGGCACTTGATGGGGAAAAAAAACAACCTATGGAGTTTTTTTTGTCTTCAGTGACCACAGACACATCATTAAAAAGTACTCTTAGCAATGAGTTGTCATTAATTATTCATAACAAACCTAATGCACAAAGACTATCAGTTCTCTAAGTACTTCTGCGACAGTATTTCTTGTCAAGTTATTTAAACTCTCAGTGTCGTCTTTCCATAAAGTGATCAATCTCTTGCATTCATCACCCTAACACAAAACCCTTCCTCGCCTGCTGTCAGGGAGGGTGGCTGGATGAAGTATTTTCCATGTCAGCTCTTGTGATGTTGTGGGAAGCAGGAGAATCAGATAGTGCTCCAAATGTTTGAAATGGGTTATAAGCTTTAAGCTTAAGTTTAGACAACAAATCAGTTTGGGGAGAGCGGAAACACCATGGCTTCTAATCTGTATTCCCTCTTGCAGAGCTGATGGTGTAATGAGAACAATGGCTCCTGAAAAGCTACTGAAGAGTATGCCAATATTGCAGGAACAAATTGATGCACTACTTGAATTTGATGTACGTATTGAAGCTGACCCAGCATTAACACTGGGCAGTGACTTATGAATGCTGCATTGTAATTAAAACATTTCACCTTGTAGGTAATGCTTTACTCATCATACCATTATGTGGGCAAAGAATCCCCTTTTCAGTATCCCCCTGAGGTAGAGTGAGGTGAAGGATGACCCTTTCCTATATGTACAAAATGTGCAGATTCTACTTTTTGGTTTTTTGTAGAGAGGGTGGAGGAACAGCATGGGAAATGAGGGCTCTTGAGGAATGCTGACTCAGAGCTGGGAGTTGCATCTTCTGTATCAGTGAGGGGAAGAAATGGACAAAGCAAGGAGACTGAAGAATCTTTTTTTTCTGTCTTTTGGCAACCAGCTTCTTTTTGGGGGAGAGAGAAAAAGCCATTAAAATATCACATGTACATTGTTTGGCTTCCTCAAAACCTTCATCTGGTTTTCAGCTGTAAGCTGGGTTGGATAAAATTTAATCTAGAGTATTCACAGAAATAACTGTCTACAATATATTTATAACGTAATAATGTTATGAATGTTGGTGGGATTATTTATCTGCCTTAAGGATAAAAACAGGAGTCAGTTGTAGGAGGTACAGTGTAACGTTGCAAAGAGGTTTTAGACGAACTTCAAGATGGATTTCTTCGGTTCTTGGTGGGCAGAAGGATGCACTCCTAGATGGAAGGCAGGGCCCACTACAGCCTTCAGAGGAAAGCCTTAGAAATATGTCTCGCTAATGTGTTTTTGTTACTTAAATGGTATAGGAATTGTGATCATGGTCTTGAAAGAGGAGATATTTTTTAATAAAATGAAGATCTTTTAATAAATAAGCATTTTTCTGCCCAAGTTCATGTGAGAACTGGAAGGGTCTTGACATCATTAACCCAACTGTATGACCTAGTAGACTACTGAGGTTTTGTTCAGCTCTGCTGTGAACTGATATCTCTTGTCCAGTTTTATTAAAGCTTTGTTAATAGCACCTCTGCTTTCCACCTCTGTGATAAGTGAAGGATTCAAGACTAAGATGTTTACTGTTGATGGGCATACTCCTCTGCTTGGAGTGGATTGTTTTGGAGTGGTAAAGTGGTGAAGAAAGCAATCCTTGATCTGCTAACAGAAACCTTTGGTTTCTTTGTGTGAAAGCTTGTAGTCAGTGCTTGATTTTATAATAGCATTAGATACCTGGTGCAAGCTAAAACTTCTAATTTCATTCAGTAAATTTGCTGTGAATAACTGGTATTTTATTTGTAGGTTCATCCAAATGAACTGACAAATGGTGTCATAAATGCTGCATTCATGCTTCTATTTAAAGATCTTATCAAACTTTTTGCTTGCTACAACGATGGGGTTATTAACTTACTAGGTAAGTAACCCAGTGTCTGTATCTCGCATACCATGAGCAAGTGAAAAACAAATTTCAGATCTGCTTCAGGGTTTTTTTACTTAATTTTCATTAAAACGCAATACATCTTTTTTTCTTGACGATTCTATTCTGAAGTGAGAGAAAACTTTTAGCCATAACCTCTTACATTAGTGGAGGCTGGATTGTCATATGCCCTTAAACTTGTACAGAAGCCTATTTACAGGTACTGAGCATTTCTGTGCCTAAAGAAATGTACAGTGCTGTGTGAGCTTCCATAATATGTCCTGCAAGGTTAGCAAAGCAACTTTTGCTATTTGATTGCATTTTTAAGATGCCCAAGTTCTTCTGTTATATATGCTATGTGATAGTCTTATATGAAGTAATATAATCATTGAATAACATTCCTGATCTGTCTGAAAGCATGACTGCCAAAGCTGGATCCCCTCCAGAACTCTACCTACCATCAACCTAGGAAGTCTATAGGAGGCTGTGGGCACATTCTGAAGCTCAGACAGCTTGGTGTGATCACCAGCATAACACACCTTAAGCTGTCCCTGCAAAAAGCTTTGTTATGAAGTCTAAAACCAGGAGTTGCTGTAAACTGCAGGAAACATAGTTGAAGCTCATTTTCTACAGGGTCAGCTATTAAAACTTGCGAGCACTTCAGCTGGTCTATAAAGACAGCTAAAAACTGAGATTGCTTGGCTAGCACGACTGACCTAAAACTCTGGCTGCAACTACAACAGGAATAAACAGAGAGGTTACAGAGTCTGAACGGGCAAAAAGATGTTCCTGAGCTGTAAAGCTCAGCCAATTTTTTTGCATCCATGTTGCAGTGCTTTCTGATGGTTTCGTAAACGTAAGTCCCAGGTGTTTTGACTGAAACTATAGGCATGGGAAGCTTATGGAGCAGATACAAATGTGTCGGGCATAACAATTAGATTGAGATTTCGCTGTCTACTGCTACTTAAAGCGTAAGTTCAGGTTGAAATATGTGGCAGTTGTGCTTGATAATGGACACAAACCAACTTTAGAGAGCTACTCAAGTAGAAAAAGTGCTGTTCTTTGGAGTGAAGACAACTTGGGAGAGGACATATTAATATATGTTTAAGTATCCTTAATTACTTTGAATTCTAACTTTGGTAGCTACTTCACCCGCTTACTTTTTATCTTTAAAAACCTGATTTACATCACACACAATGCTATGGCTGGTTGGGGTGCAATTTTCCAGTCTATATAACTCTTTAGCAGCTCAGCAAGCCCAACTTCTAAATTCTACTAAGGATTAGGAACGCCACTAGATTAGTGTCCAAGTAGAAAAATGTTAATGGAGTGCGATATTCTTGAAACGTGATTTTTCCTGAAAACTAGAGTTGCTGATGAATGCAGACCTAATGTAAGATATCTTAACTGAAATTTGCCAAATTATTTCTCTAGAGAAATTTTTTGAAATGAAAAAGGGACAATGTAAAGATGCTCTTGAAATCTACAAACGATTTCTTACTCGAATGACCAGAGTATCAGAATTTCTTAAAGTTGCAGAGGTAAGTGACTTCCAGTCTTCTGGAGTCTGGCACTTAAGTATTTTGTGAATTTTTTTAGCACCTATGTAAAATATTAATTGCACTTGTTAAGCATCTGACTCACTGTGTATAAATGTGAGGCAGTATAGAAGTTCCTGGATCTGCTCGTTCAGCTCTTCTTGAACTAGTTAAGCCCTGCTTAGGACTTCCACATGTCTCTACTATGCAGCCAGCCTCAACTTTCCTGGTAACGTAACAGGTGACATGACTTCAACTATATCAATATTTCTTGGAAATGCTGTAATAAATGCATGCTGTTAGGACAGGGTTGAACATTAGAGGAAGGTACAGCAATTAGGAATAAAAGCATAATGATTTTGTAAGTCTGCTCTTTAAGTCTTTGCAGCCAACTACAAGTTAAGTGGAATGTGAGATTTTCCTGGTTTTGATCCTTGTTATCATCCTCTTATGTGGATAATACAAATATTACGTGGTTAATTAACTCTTTTGCTGGGCTCTCATTTGTGGTAGTTGGCTCCTTGGCATAAGATGCACATTTTCCATGTTTCATGCTTCATTATAATGGACAGCAGTAATGAGCTGAATAAAAAGTTTTTCTTTGCTAATTTACTTAACTATTTATGAAGGATCCTGCTAGACTCCTTAATGGCATGTAATGTCTGATATGAATGTTGAACTTGAGGGAGTGAAGTACTTCAGACACCTATAGGTCAGCTTTGTGGGACAGGGATTGTAGTGACTATACTCCAGGATTACTAGATGCAGTGGAGCTTGTTCTTCTGCAAAAGCTGAACCAACAGGCACTTTGAAGAGCTGTAGTGAAGCAACAGGACAACTAATAGAAGATTGCAGACTTAGACCTCATCTTGCTATATTTGAAATGCTAGGAGAGAAGGGCGGAACAACAAAGTGACTTGAGCTTTAGCAATTTTTTAAGTGATGTCTTCTAGGATTTGCTCACTAGCTAAATTTCAGAGAACTCCATTAGGATAGTCAGATGTCTGGATAGTATGTGTTCGGCAGTTCACTAATGCTGTCCTCTGAGACAACAGTGTATGACCAGAAAGCCCTGCCGGACTTGCAGTATTTTACCTAGGTGGAATCGAACTCTCTTTTTTTTTTTTCAAATGGATATTTAATTTGTTAAAAAAAAGACTGCTGCAGGTTGTTGAAGGTAGCTACTGGAAAGATGGGCATCTGCACTTGCTAACTTTGTAGTCTTTTTCTATAGAAAAAGTGCATTATCGGTTGAAGAGCGTACCACAGTTCTAGTCAAAATTAGGGCCTGCTGCAGTAGAATAACGCACTTACATTTTACCTCTTTTATATCCGCAGCAAGTTGGAATTGACAAAGGTGATATCCCTGATCTTACACAGGTAAGCTTCTCTTGTAGTCTTTTTGGTTCTATGTAATAACTAGAAGTTCTATAATTAGGAAGCACACCAGGAATTTAAATGTTGGTAGGAAGCCATACCACCTAACACTTTAAAGCCCTCCCAACTTGCAGGTAAGAACTGCCCAAAGCTATTTTTGAAGACTGATATAACTAAAATAATGTTTTTCACGATGACTTCTGACCTACAG